CTGGCTCCTATTTTTCCTCTTTAGGAGCTAATAATAGTTTTGTAGCGGTCTGTCTCTTTGTTTCCAAATTTTGTATCAAATTTTAAATTTTAATATGGAGTAATGATAGGGTGGATGTAAATTTGGGACAAAAATTTAGAATTAATGAGGTGGTATTATATGTCTGAAAAAATAAAAAGAACTAATATTAAATAATATAAATTTGATTTTTTAATATTTTAAATAATATAGTAAAAGTTACTGCCTGAAATTTTAATTTTAAGTTTTGATCTTATTTATTATTATTCTTAAATATGAAGAATTATCAAAAGAAATAATTCTTATTTTCCCGAGAGTAAGGAAGTGTATATGCTATGTATTACGGCTGTTAATTACAGGCCAACAGAAAACAAGAGGAAAATAGGGGCAATAGAAGGCTTGAGGCTTGTCCATTACAGTCCCTCTGTAATTATTTGTTTACTTCTGAGTCTACAAATTCAAATTGAAGATAAAGTAATTGCCCATTCCATCTGCAGCTATACATACAGTAGTGTTGATAAGAGCAGACTCAAACTCAACCACTGGCCTTGGCTCATCCCGGCTCTCTTCTCGGGAAAAATAACATCGGGAATGGAGGTGATTGGTGATTATTGCTGCTGCAGAAGTTTGGCTCCTGTTAGAGCATGTACCATGGGAATGATAAAAAATATCATTATAATTAATATTATTTTATATAAATTTATATTTTATATATTTAATTTTTAATAAAATATCTCATTTTAAATATATAAAAAATAAAATTCCTTTAAAAATTAAGTTAATATTATTTTATTTAACTGACTTCAAATAAAAAGATTTAAATTAAAAAGCTTTTTAAAAAATAATTGCCAGCCATTGAATCATTTTGATCTAATAGCAAAAGACAAAATTAGTGCACCGCCTGACAGCATCTCAACCACTTAAAAAATCAAATTTAAAGAAGCAAAACTGAAGAAAATGAAGTTTTATGTAGAGAACTAAGAAAGGAATAACAAAATAGAACGGTCTTGTACAAACTTTTATGGAAATGATCTTTTTATTTTTTGAATAGGCGTAATTTGAGAGTAGAAATAAGAAATTATAGTGTGACAATGCGACGAATCGAATTTTAATTATTATCAAGGTATAAAATATGAGGTACATTTATTAAATAACTCACAAAATCTAGTGCTTATGGAAAGAACAGTGACAAGCTCCATATTGATATCCTTAATCCTAATCTCGTTGCTCGACTCAAAACTGCACCTAATTAAGAGCATGTACATTGGAAACAATAGAAAAAACTCACTTTAATACTATATTATTATAATTCATATTATTTTATATAAATTTATATTTTATATACTTAACTTTTAAATATAACATTTAACAAAATACTTTATCTTTAATAAATATATTTAAAATAAAAATTTTTTAAAAGACATATTAATATTATTTATTTAATTAACTTTAAATAAAAATTTTCATTAAAATTTTTTTTTTAAAATAATTGCCAACCATTGGATCACTTTAGATCTACCAAACGGGCGGGTTGAGTCGGGTTATGGTGGGTCAAAAAGGGTAACAAGTCAAAACAAGTTGTGTTAAAACGAGTCACGGGTCAATGAAAGTAGACCCTAACCCGTCCATCACGGGTCACGGGTTGACCTAATTAAATTTTTTTTTCTCTATAATTTGTACCTATTATCATTCAAAAAAAATTATTCAAAAGATTTAAAAAAGAAATTCAATATCTTATGAAAATAATTTTTTTATTAATTTAATATATACATATTTATAACTCCTTAGAATCACCTTCTTTATTTCCCTTTAAAGAACAACACTAATCAAAATTTAAGAACACAATACTTATAAATCTCAATGGAGAAAAAAAAAAAAAGCAATAGTAGCATGACAACCAAAAACCACAAACCCCATTGGAACATATTTGTTTTGCTCATTACTTTCAAAGAATAATCAATTGAATGCATCTAAGTAAAGGAGAAAATCAAGTAAAATTTTTTCTTGGAATGGAAAGAAAACTAAAAAGCATAAATAAGTAAACAACTTACCTGAAGTATTTAGAGAGAAAAGTTGGTGACAAAAAGAGCACTTGCTGGACTCATAGGAGAAAAAAAGAAAAAGTTGAGCGGACACAATGGTGACTCGATAAGACTAAGATTTAAGTCTGAAATAATGTTAAAAACTAAAAAGAAAATGTGGAGTTGAAACTTGAAAGTCAAAGGCTGTATGAACTATGGAAGTTGGAGAATATGAGAAGAGTTTGAAGTTTGAAGAGTTAGAGTCTTCGAGAGTATTAGGGCAAGCAAGAATAGGAAAGGTCGAAAGGTAAGTTATGAGTGGAGTGGGATTATTTTTACTTCTAGAAAATGATGAGTCAAGAGAATCAATTGGTTAATTAGGGAATATTAGTGAATTATTAGAGGTTTAGGTAGGATTAGAAATTGGAAATTGGAAAACAAAATAAATAAATAATAAATTAAAAAATTATATATTTTTAAACGAGTAAACGAATCAAACCCGTTAACCCGATGGGTCAATCCGTTATTGACCTATGACCCGTTAAGTTCTCTTAACGGGTCATTAACGAATTATAAATATATGACTCTAATCTGTTTTAAATAGGCTAGTAATAAACGGATAAACGGATTAGGTAAAAAATTATCAAGTTTAGATCACTTTGATCCAACAGCAAAATACAACCATGCACGGCTTTACGTGCTGTCAGACCGTGCAAATCTCAACCGCTTAGAAAACAAATGGTTAAATGCTTAATTTGGTCCCTTAACTTTATGAAATGCACATTTTTGGTTCCTCAACAAATTTTTACACTTTTTTGATCCCTTAACTATATGAAATGCACTCCATTAGTCATTCTGTTAATTTGAGCTGTTAACCCTGCTTAGGTGGTATTTTTTATATATTTTTTTGATGATGTGGAGAGCAAAACTTAAAAAAGTAATGATGTGCATAAAACTTTTGCCATGTCACATGCTACCTGACGAAAACACACCAAATCCATTCAAATGGATCCCACATCACCACTAAAAATTGCTTCTTTGCCCATTGATTACTGTTTCTATTCTTTTCATAAATAGTGTTCTTTCCATTTTCAAGATTGAAGTTCGACAAAACCCAGCAGATTTGGGTTCGATGTAACCCAGCAAATAGGTTCCATCGAACCCAACTCGATTCACTAAACTCAATTGCCCAAAAATCCCTTACAA